CAATTTCCACAGTCACTGAATCAATCCACCTCATAGAGGGTCTTCCCCTCCTGTGCTGTCCCTCCACCCTCCCAAGAATGATGTCCCTCTCCAAAGACCAGTCCCTCCTTACAACATATCCAAAGTATGTCAGATGAAGCCTCAGAATCCTTGCCTCCAAGGAGCAGCCTGGTTTAACCCTCTCCAGGATGAATCTGTTTGTTTTCTTAGCAGTCCATGGTACCCTCAATACTATTCTCCAGCACCACAGCTCAAAGGCATCAATTCTCCATCTGTCCTCCCTAGTCATTGTCCAACTCTCTGACACATACATGGTTTAAAATTAAGAAAAGAGTATGTCAGGGTTGTATACTCTCTAAGTAATTATTCAATCTCTGTGTTTAGCAAATTATAAAAACAGTTGCAATCTATAAAGAAGAATATGGCATCAAGATCAGAGGAAGACTCATTAATAACGTGCATATGCAGAAGACATAATCTTGCTGGCTGAAAATGTGAAAGACTTGCAGCGTTTGTGGCAGAAAATAAACGAATACAGGCTTCAGTATGAATTGCATCTCAATATCAAGAAAGCAAAAAATATTACTACAGAACTGATAGGCAACATCATGATAGACGGAGGATAGATTGAAATTGTAAAAAAATGTCATTTTTCTTCGCAGTCAACACCCTCAGTACCAACAGTCAGGAAATAAGGAGACACATTGCATCAGGAGAGTATGCATTCAATAAACTCTCCAAATTATTAAGGAGTAATGTTGTCATTTTGAGGACTAAGGTGTGTGTGATTCAGGTCATGATCTTCCTGATCATTTTCTATACATCTGAGAGCTGGACAGAGAGTAAGGAAGGCAGAAGAAGAATTGAAGCCTTTGAGCTGTGATACTGGAGAAGGATACTTAATATCCCTTGTACTTCCAAAAGAAGAAATAAGAATGTCTTGGAGAAATTACAGTCAGAATTCTCCTTGGAGGCAAAGATGATAAAGCTTCATCTCACATTATTTTGGGCATATTTCTAGGAGAGTTTATTCCTTGAAGAAGGACTTCATTCTTGGAAAGGTGGAGGGTTAATGAAAGAGAGGAAGCCTTTAGACCACATGGATTGACACAGAGACTGCTGCAATGGGCTTGAGTGTGTCAAGAATTATAAGGATGGCACAGAATAAGACAGCACTCATATTTGTTGTTCATAGGGTCATCATGGGTTGTAGTCAACTCAGAAACACCAAAAAAGAACAATAATACAACACACTACTACAAGAAACCATTAGTTGTTGTTTTTGTTGTGTACCATCAAGTTGGAACTGACCCATGGCTGACCCTGCATTTTCAGAGGCAATAAATAGCACAGGTGGAAATTTCCCATTTTTTTCCTGGGAGCACCTAGTGAATTTGAACCACGTACCTTTGCATTGACAGTGCAATTCCTTAAGCCTAAGACACCAGAGAACCCAGATATCATAAAAGACCTAACTAACAGGTTTGAAAGCAGGAGTGGCATTCATTTCCTAAACCACATGCCTCAGGAAACTCTATGAACTTGGAGAAATGACGAGAGTTAGGGAAAGGCATTAGGTCTTTTGTTCATAGAGTCACTATGAGTCACGCTTGACTTGATGGCAACCACCAACAACAGCAATTGAAAAACGTTTACAGAATACTACAGGGCCTCCACAAAAAAACCCAAACTAACAGAAACCACAAAAAAATGACTGATAATAAAAAAATGGGCAAAAGATATATAAAAAACTTTTCATAAAGGAAGATATTCAGAGGGCTAACAGACATGAAGAAATGTCCAAAATCACTAGTAATCAGAGAGATGAAAGTCAAAACAACAAAATATCATCTCACCCTTGTAACAGTAGCAAGTTTAACAGCATGGCAAATAATAAACCCTGGAGAGGATTCGTAGGGGGAAAGAGAGTTCATTGGAATTCTCATGCATTGCTAGTGGGATTATAAAATGCTATCGCCACTCTGGAAGACAGTTTGACATTTCCTCAAAAAGCTGTACATAAAAATCCCATATGACCTAGCTGTTGCACTGTTAGGAATAATACATCTCAAGGAAATTAGTACTGAGACATGAACAAAGATATGTTTACTCACGTTCATAGCAGTGTTATTCATATAATAGCAAGAAAATGGAAACAAAACCCCATATGCCATCAACATGAATGGATTGAGAAATTGTGGTATATTCACACAATAAAACACTATGCAGCATCAAGGAACCATAATTTTTTAAAATACTATAAAATATGGGAGAATCTAAAGAGCATTATGCTAAAGGAAATAACAATCTCATAAGGAAAAATGGGCAAAAAGCTCACTATTATAAAAATAGATAACTGAGAAAGATGTATATACATGTTCAAAAGAGAAAAGGGGAAGGGAGAAGAGAGCAGAAAAAAAGAGGAGAGAAATGACTAGGATAGCAGAGATTAGTGGGGAGATTTAGGGAGTAAAGAAATAGAAAAGATTCAATGGGACTTAAAAAGATGGGATGATAATAACCATAGATTAATAGTAATTAATTACATAAAATATAATGTATATGAATATTGTATAAAACAAAATGAACAAAACACAATGTAAATAAAAGTTTGTATAAAACACAATGAACATGCATGAAACACAATGTATATGAATGATTTTATGCAAATACAGTATTAGAAGGGAAAAAGAAATATCCATTATGGTGGTGGTTGTGGTTGTTGTCGTTGTTGTTATGTGCCCTCGAGTCGCTTGAGCCTCATAGCGACCCTATGTACAACAGCCCTAAACTCTGCTCTGTCCTGTGCCAATCGCACAGTCTCTGACACTCCCATCCCGATTATCCCAGTCACTGAATCAATCCACCTCATAGAGGGCCTTCCCCTCCTGCGCCGTCCCTCCACCCTCCCAACCATGATGTCCTTCTCCAAGGACCGGTCTGTCCTCACAACATGTCCAAAGTATGTTAGACGGAGCCTCAGAATCCTTGCCTCCAAGGAGCCACCTGGTTTAACCCTTTCCAGGACAAATCTGTTTGTTTTCCTAGCAGTCCATGGTACTCTCAATACTCTTCTCCAGCACCACAGCTCAAAGGCATCAATTCTCCTTCTATCCTCCTTGGTCATTGTCCAACTCTCTGATGCATAACAAGTTATTGTGAAGACCATGACCTCTATCAAACGCATCTTAGTCTCCAGAGAGACACCATTGCTCTTCAGTACTTTGGAGAGATCCCTAGCAGCAGACTTTCCCGTGGCAATGTGCCTTTTAATTTCCTGGCTACTGTTGCCAAGAGTTTTGACTGTGGAGCCAAGCAAACTAAAGCTGTGAACAATCTCAGTCTCTTCACCATTCATCCTGATGCTGCCAATTGGTCCAGTGGTGAGAATCTTTGTCTTCTTGACATTGAGCCTCAATCCATATTGGAGGCTACAGTCCTTGACCCTCTGCAGTAGGTGCTTCAGGTCCTCTTCAGTTTCAGCAAGCAGGGTTGTGTTATCTGCATAACACAGATTGTTGATAAATCCTCCACCAATCTTGACCCCACATTTCTCCTCATAGAGCACTGCCTCTTGGATAATCTGTTCTGCATATAGGTTGAAAAGGTATGGAGATAGGATGCATCCCTGGCATACGCCCTTCCCCATTTTGAACCATGCAGTGTTATCTTGCTCTGTTCTGACGACTGCCTCCTGGTCAAAGTATAGGTTTCGCGTTAGCACCATCAACTTTTCCATTATGGTAGTCAGGAAAAAAGAGGAAGAACCTCAATGAAGTAGATTGACAGAGTAAGTATGATAATGGGCATGAGCATGGTGCAGATTGTGTGAACTGTGCAGGTTATAAGAATGGTGCAGGATGGAGAACATTTCCAATTTGTTGTTCATAAAATTACTGTTAGTCAAATCAAAGGCATCTTACAGCACAAATAGCTAGTGAAATTGAATATGTTTTCATGTGTTTATTGGCCAACTGAATGTGTTCTTTGGTGAATTGTCTATTCATACCCTTTACACATTTTCCAATAGGGTTGCTTGTTTTATTTTTATTTTTGGAATTTTTTTTTAGTCTTAGAAATGAGTCAAATAAGATGCATGGTCTAAATCAAGCAGAATATCTGAGGACTTTGTTGGGACTTCTATATATATTGGACACAGGCCCACCTCAAGGACATTAACTTTTAACAAATTGGCTGCTCATAGATCTCTTCATAAAGATGATTATAATATTAAAGTAGGGATTCACTACATTAATATATATTTGCAGAATTACTAAGAGTCATGGCTAACCTGAGCCAATACTCAGCCTTAACCATCACATTTAGGGTCCACCTTTGTTTTGTCCAACCAGGCCTTTGGTTAATTGAAGGTTAATGAATTGAAACGGAATAGATTTAAATTTGTAAGCTCTGGGGGAGCTGGCATGATATGTGGAATGGGCAAAATTAAGGTAAAAGCTTAATTGTCCTCCTAGAAAACAAAGACAGCAAAGTCATTACATAACAACCAAAACTGTTGACTTGCAAATTCAGAGACAATAGTGCCCTATTTCAATGGGTTGATTGATTTTGCTGTTTTGGATGTTTCACTTTCCACAGTCCCAGCATTAATCCAATGTGATAAATCAGGTTCCTGGAAAAGTGTTTCTGCTCTGGTCTTTCTGATTCATTTAAATTTTAAAAAAAATGTATCTGTTTTCACTTTGTCGTCTGTAACTTAACTTGAGTTGGCTCTAACATGTATAGAGAATGTGCAACTGGGGACCACATTGCATTTGATAATAGTGATTGCAAACTTGGAAAGCAAATACACATTTTAGCAACATTTCTCAAACCATAATTAAAATAATATTTATTTATTATCAGATATACATGATATGCTAGATTCATTTGGCTTGGTGAAAAGCTATATTAATAATTATTATTGTACAAAATTAAACTTACTATAAAAATAGAGAAAGAGAATAATGATTTTCCCCCCTTTTCTCTCTTTTCTTCAGGTGGCTTCCTTTCATGTCTCAGGGTATGATTCATTCAGAAATTGAACTCTACCTTCAAGGTGAGGATTAACGAACCTTCAGCAGGAAAAAAAAAAGTGCAAGATGGTTTCAATACACCTTGACATCATGAAACATTCCACAGTTACTCTTGAACTTCTCCTTTGGTGCCTTATCATTTTCATAGGACTCATAATTGCTCCTCATAGTGGAAGCAAAATATAAGACATGTACTTTTACAGTGTTACCTGTTCTATTGTAAGTTAGAAATTAGCCAAAGAATTTGCTATCATTAACAAGTTGCCACACACTTTTTAAATTGAAGACCTTTCTAAGAAACACATTTGCCATCATTTGCGGCAATGTTTAAAAAGTTGAAGTCATCCTTTTTTGCTCCATTTGTAATGTCATTAGACAGATCTATTATTAACCACACTTCACTTTTATTTTTGCAGAAATGCAAATAAATCATCAACCTAAAATACAAGAGGAAGCAACTGGTAAATGTTGTTGCCACTTTTCATCCTTTAATCAACTACCTGACTTGCAAAATTTTTGGTGTGTTTTATTTAGCTTAAGCTAGTGATTGAAAATTACTGTAAGAACTGGCATTGAAGTGTAACTTTATTTGTAAAGAAATTAGCATGAACAATTTTGTTCCAAATGCCATTTTTCCCCTCAGAATGTTTTTCTTAAACTTCCCCCCTTCAGTAATGTAACTATAGTGCGGAAATAAGTAACCCTTTTTTATTATTCATGTATACTAATTTTCATTTATAAATTGACTAATTTTTTCTAATTTTTCTACTTAACTAATTTGTCATTAGGTATTTCTGTAAATCAGCTTGCAGTTGTGTCATTAATAAGTTTACTTTCTATCTTAAAGCTGTTCAAAATGAGGGAAATAAATAGAGATTACAGACATGCATATGAAGTTTAGCAATTTCTATACGTCTAAAAATATGTTTAATTTTTGCAGTTATTTGTAACTAGGCAAGGGCTTATGTTAATATGGTAATATATATAATGTCATATGAGTTTGTAGCGGTCACTGAGACACATGTTTTCTCTGACCAGCATGTATTCTTACTTTTATAGTAGGGATAATAAATTGGCTTATATATTACTTTTATTATTTAATAATTATGTGGGGAGTAAATGTATATGTGTAAGGCTATTATTATAGGTGTAATTCTACTAATAATGTTCTAGAAACTCAGAAAATTTAACTGGTCTCACAACGTCTATATCTTAAGAAAGAGCTTTAAGAATAAGTTTTAAATAACATTTTAAATTTAAAAAATCTGTTAATTCTAATTTTAAATTCAAAAAATCTGTTAATTCTAATTTTAAATTTAAAAAATATGTTAAATCTAGAAATTAATGTGTGATATAAGAATAATATAGGTTATAATTTAAAAATGAATATTCTAATTAAGGTTGAAAAGGTTGAAAGTATTTTGCCAACAATGTATATCCATCTAACTCATGCCAGCAATTAAAAACAAAATACAGTGTAATTATAAAGAGTGTTTATATGGGAGTTTGTTGGATATACTTTATCAACTGTAATTTTGCTGAAAATAAAATATTTTAAAAACTTTCTTGCTATCAGTCACTTCTGTTTTAAAAAACTATTTAATGACATCTGAAAATATATGCTAATATTTTACAGTATAAAAGTAGATTAGTCTTCAACCTTAGTTTATGAGACATTATCATTATTTGTCTGAGAATGAGTCACCCTCATTTCTATATTCTGAAAGAAAACAATCTTTAATATCTCTTGGGTATACATTAAGAAGTTTATAGTTCTGAGAATAATCTAATTTATGGTATAGAAAGAATCTCAAATAAGTAAGTGGTTTAATTTATTAATGCAGTGGTAGGGTTGTGGTTAAAAAGTTTTGATGGGTAAACACAAATTTCCATGAATCTTAGATTTTAAAAATATATGGGGGTAGGGGGTGGGGTTTGGGGAGGTG